GAAGGTGTTCCCAGCTACGACACAAGCGTCCAAGGACACACCAAGAGGAAAGAAGGGTTCCCAGCTATGACGAAAGCATCCAGGGACACCCAAACAAGAAGGAGGGAAAGGAAGGAAGGAGAAAAGAGAGAGAAGGAAAAGAGAGGAAGAGGACAGGTGTTCCCAGCTACGAACAAGCGTCCAGGGACACACCAGGGAGAAAGGGGTGAACCTGAGTATTACATTCTGGAACACCCCAACAAGCGACGGGGGAAGAGAGGGGGTGGGGGGAGGAAGGGGGACTAAGCTCGACAGGTTCCAATGAACCTTGAACCGCTGCGGCCACGTACGCCATGCCAAAATGGCTGGCTGCTTAGACCGCTGCGGTCACGTACAGGCACGAGCCAGCTTGGAATTCAATAATCCGTCAGGTCTTGGCAAGCAACTTTGGCGTAAGCCTCCTACGCCCGCTCTGGGCACGTACATCTCCGGGCAGGGAGATAAAGACAAACGGGTCCACAGGGGGCACTCGGGCTCACCCTGGGCTGCCACACGCCAGCCTAAGAAACCAAATCCTGAAAAGTCCAGGAGAACCCTACGGAGCCTGGAGGTCTTCAAAAGGAGAAAGGGCCAAAAGCTCAAGACCGAAAGCGACGATCATGTCTGCCAAGCTCATTAGCACTTTACTGGAAATTGGAGTCAAAGCTTGTTCAAAAGCTCAAACAGCAGGTACGTGCAGCTGATCAGGCTGCATATCCTGAGGTCACCATAGAGAGCTTCGTTGGGCACAGCTCCATGGGCCTCCTGTGCCCCCTGCTCAAAACAATTCAAAAAGAATCCCTGTGATTACAAGGGGTACACACACACTCTGACATTGGTTTTCAATTAACTCAGTTCCCAGGTGGAAGGAAGGTGGAGAACCGCAAGGTGAAGCGTCCGATCACTTGAAGGTGTTTGAACAATGTTTTTTCACAACTGCGGTGACATGCTGCAAAACGCGCGGCTGCTGAAAGTGGCTGAAAGAAAATGGTTTAAGGGGCAGTAGCATGAAGAAGGACCATGAAAACAACGAACAGCGGCAGGGTGGACCATTGGTGTCAATGTGTTATTCTGCAGGTACAGGATCAAGCGTCCTTGATCCCTTCCCATCTGTGGTCGTAGCTTCGTTGCGTGCAGTGGACCACAGATGCTGCACGCCCCTGCATGAGAGTGAAAAATCAAAAAGGAAGGGGAGGACCCTTAGAGACAGAGCTTGACACACACACACACGTGGCCGTTTTCGGCGCACATGTGATCACGTTGCCAAGATGGCTTTGATTTCCCGCAGGAAACGCTGGCACTCTCTGGCGCTGTGTCCCTTTAGGACGTATAGTCGCAAAAGGTGAATACTTAGCCCTTGACTGGGGTAGGGAAACGAGCCTCAAGAACCACCTAAAAAGCCTGAAAGAAAGCACAACAAACGACGAAAAGCGCAAGAAGGAAAGCGGGGGGCAGGGAGGGGGTGTATGTCCATGTGTGTGTTTGAATACTTAGCCCTCTAGAGTTACTGACTACTTAGCGGAAACGAATTAAGTGCAACAGTTAGGGATCGGGACTTTAGTCTTAGACCGCCCGGGTAGAGTAGACTAGAGCAGGGACAACAGAGGGAAAGGCACCGACACACAAGTGTGTCGAGTACCATTTCCCTGTGTTACCCTAATTAGGTAGGGAGTAGAACTCGGCAGGGGGGGGGTTTGGAACTAGAAAAAACGTGCCTGACCTCAGAATGGCCATAGTGGAATGCATGAGAGAAGGGTATCCCGTGAAGCCCGGCGGCGTGTAAGCAGTTAATCCAGTAGTGAAACCAAATCCATTAAGAGAATTCAACGAACGGTGGAAACGAAGGAAGCTGTTAGTGAAAATCCGGCATGAAATCAGCGCCCCAGTGACGGGGATCACACCCAGCACCCAAGTGGGACGACTGAGCGGTTCACACTCTGACATTGGTTTTCAATTAACTCAGTTCCCAGGTGGAAGGAAGGTGGAGAACCGCAAGGTGAAGCGTCCGATCACTTGAAGGTGTTTGAACAATGTGTTTTTCACAACTGCGGTGACATGCTGCAAAACGCGCGGCTGCTGCAAGTGGCTGAAAGAAAATGGTTTAAGGGGTAGTAGCATGAAGAAGGACCATGAAAACAACGAACAGCGGCAGGGTGGACCATTGGTGTCAATGTGTTATTCTGCAGGTACAGGATCAAGCGTCCTTGATCCCTTCCCATCTGTGGTCGTAGCTTCGTTGCGTGCAGTGGACCACAGATGCTGCACGCCCCTGCTTGAGAGTGAAAAATCAAAAAGGAAGGGGAGGACCTGAGGGACAGGGCTTGACACACACACACACACTGTCCACTGTCTGTGCAGTATTCTTAGGGGATGAACGGAGACTGTGCACGGTGTGAACCGAACAACCCGTTGAGCGGGAAAAACCATCGGTCCTTGAGGACTTCCTTCTCGTCCACACCGTGGTCCTTCACGACCGAGATCAACTCGTCCTGCCAAGGTCGGCGGGGCTGTCTCTCGGACGGCCATCGCATGCCATGACGGTGAACTTCTTGTTGCTCCTAGTAGAGATGCAGCGATGCCCTTTGTTACTAGTAGATTAATGCCAGGAGCTACGAACGTAGCTTCTTACTCCCTTCGTAGCGATGCCCTCTGTTCCTCGGACCTGTGGACCTGTGAGGTCGGATCAAAGAACTTGACATGGCGAAGCAAAATGGCTGTTGGAGACCCTTAGTCAATGTAAGCAGGTAGGTCAAATTACGTTTTGTAGGGTTAGGTCAGAGCCTGATGGGAAAATGGTTTAACATTCCTCCCAGCCAGCATGCAAAAGATGGTACGACGGAATGAAGAATGTAACTCACCAAAACTCCAGGAGGGTGACTCGCAGTTAAGTTGAAACGCCGTCAAACACACACCCTCAGCTGGTCGTTTTCCACCAGACTGAGGAAAGCTTGTCGGTTTCCCCGTTTCGCCTCGGCAAAGCGCCATGGCAACGCGGGTTGTGGACGGTGACGTCATGGTGTCGTTGGTCGGGATGGCTGTGACGAAGCAACAAACGAATGGCTGTGACTCCCCACGTAGCAGTCGTAGCAATCCCTTCAAAGTGTTGTGGAGAAAGAGCCTTCCACAGAAGTGGGAAGAGGATCTAAAGGGCTCCCTCACCGTCACCAGTCTACAACGGAGTTTCAATATCCTTCTGACTTGACCTTAGACTTCGGGTGTAGGTGTTTCAAGATCCGTAGAGCATTGCCCTGAAAAGAAAGGGCACATTATTGTAGAAAACTGTTGCATTCTCTGCCTGGTTGCCAGGCCCTTTCATGGTTCGCCCCACGTTTTGCCACGTCGATCCATTTCGTCCCGGCCGAACACATCACCTGCCGTCCTTGCTGATGTGGCCATTTCCATCCCTGGTCGCTTTGCCCAGCGGCGAGAGGAACGGGGCGCTGTTCAGCGAAGAAGGGAGCCATTGAAGGACGCTTTGGGGTTTTGCCCCGATCCCAATGATCCAGCAATTGAGGTGTATGCAATGCTGATTCCTCTGAAAACGTTTCTGTCTGCACATTGCACATATGACTCTTGGGGCGGAATTTTTAGCTCAAGGAATCACGAGTAAGAACTAAGGATTCTAGTCTCCCTTGAGCTTGACATGCAATTAGGCACTGACATGGTCTTAAATTCTCTGGGTAGTTTGGATGGCAAAGAAAGGCAGGCGCTTGAAATCGCCCTTCTTTCAAGCACCACCCACACTGGTCTTCAACCGAGCGATCAAACCCCTTGGTGATCTAATCGGCTGAACGATCCAGTTAAAGGCTCTTCTGGTCGAGCCGTCTTACCAGTCCCGAATCCACAAGTCTCGTCCCCCAAAACCCGAAACCTGCGCCCATCTGCCCAGCGGCGAGTCCAAAAGGGCAAACGTCTCATTGAGCTTGGCCCATTCTGGAGCCTAGAAACGTCGATGGTGGTGAAACCCACGACTCTGCCAGTTCTCTCTATCGCCTCACAGTCGTGGGTCTTCCCTTCGGTTCGAGACCGAGTTCTCAGAGAACCCCTCCCCCCACTGATGCCCTTTGTTACTAAGAGTTTCTAGCTACTAGTAATGCCAGGAGCTACTAGTAATTTCTTGCTACTCCACTGATTTCTGCCCCCCTTAAGATAAAGGTAGATGCAAGCAAGTGGTTGTGGCATGTTGTGGCCTCGACAAGAAACATCCAGCAAATCTACCCCATGTGCCATAAAGACATTTGTCAAGGAGGTCAACTAAATCAAGCATAAAGTCTTGGTGATCTAGGACATTCTCACTTCGATGATCTACTGAACTATAACTATGTATATATATATAGGTGATCGAAGCGTTTAGAGTCATTTCTTCTTGAGCCTATCCCACATTTCTGTCAGCTGTGCCTTTTCTGGCTCCACTTCGTGCCTGAAATGCCGCAGGTGAAAGAAAATTGGGATCTAACGCACACACATGCGCACGCGCACACACGGCATCTGCCCGATAGTGTAGGTTGCCTTGTCACAGCTAAGTACAAACAGCTTGCATGCCAGTGATCTAGAGGAGTACAACAATAAGTGTTCAGCTTCCTAGCCTACTTGCTTCATGCGCTAGTTCTTCTGCATGGGGAGATCCAGATTTCCTACCAACATTCCTCAGGCGATATCGAAATCACCCCCAAATGGGGTTCGGAGGGTGGCGTTGGGTCGTAAGTCTACGTAAGAAACTCGCCAAGGTCAAGGAGTACACTCTACCTCAAAAAGTTTTCTTAATACAAAGTTCGGCCGTAGAGTAGAGGTAGCCCAGGACACAAATGATCTAAAACTGTAAAGGCATGGTTTTTCCACATCCAAAAGTGACGCAGGTACGACACAGAAAAATGTACAATGTGTACCTGTCAAGACATGCAAAGTCCAAACCCTTTGTCTTCTGGCCATACTCTACAATACTGTTGACCTAGGCCCGATCACGTGGCAAGATTGAGGGCGTCTGAAATGCCTCAAGTCACTACAATACCCCACTTTTTATAGTTTGTCAATGTTTGTCACATTGACATAGACAGTGGGCCAACCTCCCAGCCCAAAAAACAATTCACAAATTGAAGAAACGTCTTTCAAGCTTGGGTGTCAAAGTCAGGCTGTTCGGGGCTCGTGGAGGACAGGCTTCGGGCCTGGCTTGCTCGCCCGATTTTCTCCTCCCCGATCGGATTGGCCATGGTGCAAAGCATCCTGCAAGTGCTTCTTCGCAGCCTTGGAGGATGTCGAACTGGCAGCCACTCGTGATAGCCCGGAGGGCAAGCCTTTCCCATCTCGCCCTTTGCGAAATGTAAACATCAGTCTCATGGGTGTCTCTCTCAGGAATGCCAGAGTGCAGCGATGCAAATACAAAACTCCTTCATCCTAGGGTCAGATCACGGTCACATCAAACGTTTTGCACCCGAGCCGCGGCAGACTCGCTAGATGCCGGCGAAGAAGAAGCAGGCTTAGCCTAGAATCGGGCCAACCACAGGATACCACAGGTCCCCCCGGTGCAGTGACTCTGTGGCGTTCGTGTCTCTCAAGATAGTATCGCTGCAAAGAACTGATTCCCCCGACATGTGGCTCCCTACTTGGTCCGGTGGCTCCCAACTCCCCATTTCAGGTGTGACGAGCACCGGCTTCGCTTCGTCTCCAAGCCCGGCTTCGCTTCACCCGCACCGCGAACCGAACCGAAGCACGAACCGAACCGGACTGAAAACCGGTTTCTATGAAACCGAAACGAGCCGCAACGCTTATAAAAACGCCTCAACGGAATGGCAACGAACCGGGAACCGCTCAAGCAACAAACCATCTGGCTGGAGCCCGCTGTGATGTATATATGTGTTTCGATTCTTAGGACTGATTGAACTCATCTGTTTGTCTGCGCTCTCACAACCAGGACGCACCCGAGCATTGTCAGAAACGATTCTCAAGGCCAACAATCACATGATCCAGAAACCATTTCGGCCAGCCGAAAATGAAGCGATCGTAGAAACGATGCCAAAAACGATTTTCACAAGGCGAAAATCACTTTCAAGAGGTCTTTGGCTCAAAACCATGGCACTCACCGCTTCTCAATGCCAAAAACACTCCCATGGGTATGCATTATGGAAACTATGGAAACTATATGAAACTATGCTGAGCTCGGCCAAATCCTGTGTGTCACATGCCATCTTCTGCTGTGTTGACCGCTCAAGAAAAGGTGGAACCGAACCGAACCGATTCCCAGACGGAACCGAAAACGAACCGGTGTAGTGCGAACAAATGGAACCGAAGCGAACCGGTTCCTTTTGCGAGCCGAACCGCCATCATTCCAGTTTCAAGGAACCAAAACGAATCGAAACGAACCGCAGGCGATCCCAACTCGGTCTGCCCCTGTAATGGCTCACACAGCCATCTGCTCCAAGTCCAAGAGCCAAAGATTGGGACACCCTTGACGTGTGCTTTCAAGACCTTTCAAGAGAGCTTGTAGGGGATTGCAACAAACAAACGCGTTCAATTCTTTTGTTTAGATGCTCAATGTGGTCCTGTCGATGAAGTCTGAGCCAAGCCGCAGCAGCTTTGGGTGCAGGTGTGCTTGCAGGCTTTGCCTTGCCAGGACTCCAATTCTCCCTATG